ATATTGGAGTTACTTTTTCACTCCAATAACTGGAAAGTGGTTCTATAGTACATATTCTCAATGTAATATTATGCAGCCACTAAAATGGCAATGAAGAACACAGGGAAAAAACTGGTTAATTCTTATAACAGTATTTTTCAAAGCACACTGTATGACGTTAATAGACGTAGATAACAAAAAGTTTCTGCATTAAGCAATAAACAGGTTTCTCTATTATCAGATTTCTCAGAAACTTTAATATGCTGATGTGAATGGTGAAAAAATATATAAATGACAAATGTTTGTAAATGCCACTTGGTAAAGACCTAGCAGTTACATTTGTACATAGAGGTGAGCCTAAGTTACATTCTGCATTTAAAATATGAGAAATGTAATTATCACTTTCTAAAATAGTGGAGTGAAAACTTTACATGTGCCCCTTCTAAAAACAATAAATATAATCCTTTTCCTCTAAAAAGAATATAAATTCTTGGAATTCTCTAATTCAAAAGTAAAGGCAGACATCCACTTACAGCCATAATGGTGTACCAGGGACCAGATTTGCACTCCTGTTTTAAACAACCAGAAAACCAGACAAATTTGAAGCAACATTTTTTAGATACTGGACAACAGGCAGTGCAAGCCTAGGATCCCTTAGAAGGGAAACAAATGAGGTGAGCCCTATGACTGCTCCAGCTTACTGCCCAGAGGCAGTTTCTAGGCCTCAGTCCATGGAGGAGGAGCTCATACAGAGCCCAGTGGTGTTTCCCAGTTATGGAGAGAGATCACAGTTCAGGGAAGCCAAGGTGGCTTGAAGTTGCAGGGCAGAACACCAGAGAGGGTGGAGCTGCACAAAGAAAGCTCTTGAGACTTGCAGGGGTCCTCTTGAGATTATGGCTGAGAAGGCAACGGCTGGAAGGAATATCCAAAGGAGACGAAAAGATCCACTGATTTTCTTTGTTTTGTAAGGTTCTGTGAGCTACAATGATTTCAAATTTATTCAAGTGCAACCTTTTCCATGTTTGCCTTTGGTTATTGCTGACATATAAAAATATCTCTATTTTAGGAAACCAGAAAGATATAAATTCAAGAACAAATTAAATGCATCTCTATCTCAAGCTGTTTTTTTATGCCCTTTCTTGGCTTACCAGATATTCAACTGCAACCTTGAATACAAGATGTAACTCAAAAAAGTAGTCTTTTTAAATTTATTCCAAATAGCAATATGAACCAATTGCAATTCCCTGGATGATCAATCTAGTATTCAAACCCCCTTTTACTCCCCAATCTATTAATTTCAAAATACTACAATCCAAAATAACCTCAGGTCTCAAACAAACTTTACTATCATCATTCTGTGAGGTTTCCATTACTACAACCAACTGAAATCAAACCATAATGATTCATACTCAAGGAAAACAGGTAATGACTAAATTCTTTGTCATTTATGTTTTCAGAATCCTTTAAAAAAAATAACTAGGGTATATTAATTCTTTTCTGGCCACCTAGTCCCATGAAACATACTGAAAAGTTTCAATTTCCTATAGTGACTTTAAAAACTCACTTAACAATATTAACATAACATTTAACATATTAAATATTCTAGTAGCAAAAGACTTTTTCTTAGAAAGAACTACAAAGTCTGAATAGTGGTTTAAGGTGCTCTGGACTTTGTGACACCATTATCTAAATCCCCAAATCCCTTTAAAGCCTAGATAGGTGCCATAAAAAGATTTAGAAAATTATATTTATATTGGTAAATAAAGAGATTTATGTAAAATATAACTATTATGAGTATATGGAACATAACAGTTCTAAAGCTTGATTAACCACGCTCTTTTTACTCTTAATGTGATTCCAAGAATGACAATTTTCATAACAAAGTCACAAACATACAGCAATCTTAACAATGTCTTGTTTGAAATACAACTAATAAAGCACATCTAGGATGCCATCACTAAAATAAATTATTTAAGACCTCCTCCCAACTACCCCCTAAATAGGAAACTGGGAGTATTATTAACAACAGTATCTCACTGGGTGACAGTCGCAACACTCACCTTGACAGTGGAGCCGGCATAAAGCCTCTGAGCCAGCAATCTTCCTGCCTGGATTGCTACTGGTGTGAGCTCCAGCTTATCTTCCAATATATCCCCAATGGCATAGATGTAAGGCACATTGGTCTGCTCTTCATCCGTGACAGGTATTTTTCCAGTCCTAAAAATTCATTCAGTTAAAAATTATCATCAATTACCACTATTAATTAAGTACTACAAAATCCCTTTTCTCCCAAGGACACCCAAAACTGTGACTCTAGCTGAGGGCAATGTTCTACTGTATTAAAAACAAATCAAAACAGCTCAGAGGAACCAAAAAGCTCAGTGACAATTCTGGCCACTATTTTGAAAATCAAAGAAATAAGAAAACAGTAGGAAACCATGTAACACAGTGGTTAAGAGTGAGGATTCATAATTATAACCATACATATATACATACATACATATATACATACATACATACATACATACATACATAAAATAAGCAGGAAATACTAATGTGAGTGGCACATACATACATACATACATACATACATACATACATAAAATAAGCAGGAAATACTAATGTGAGTGGCACTGGAAGAAGAGTTCTCTAAGCCTAAAAAGGGAACTCCCCAAACTCTAGAATTGATCAGTGCTGTAAATAACTAAAATAGTATTCAATACGACATAAGATTTTTTTTCTTACTTTTCATTTATCTTCACACCCACAGTCTCTAAGCCAATTTTTCTTGTGCAAGCATCTCTTCCTATTGCCAGCAACACCTAAAAAATTAATATACTAATGACTATTAACAAAAAGGCTCTGAATTAATCATAGTTTTCTCTGCTTATTAAGCTAATTGAATTTCATTTTCCAGATCTGCAAAATATTTCATTAAGAAAATAATGCAAGAGTTTAAGCAAATTAAAATCTTTAATAAAAAATCCTTTGAATGTGATATAGAAGAAACTCTTTCCCATTTCTTTTTAAGAGAAAGGAAGTTTATTAAATTCCTTAATAAACCTAGCCAAGTTTAAAGACAAAGACAGCATAGCTAATGACTGAATTAGGTTATGGACTGGGGAGATGAAAGGGAAGAATGCAGGACAGAGAAATTCTAGCTCATTTAAAAATTCTGGTGCCTTTTTATAGCCATTTGACAAACATTTTAAGTTATACTGGAGAAAATCCGAAGCCATCCTTGTACTAAAACAAATTATAATACCATAAGTAATTAAGATGTCTTAGAATGGGCATAGAATTAGTACATTTTAGAAATAGCAAACAGCCGTGGGAAATACCCAATAGACACAATAAGCACTTTATTTGCTTTCTGATGAAGTACTAACCTGAGCCCATTCCTTACCGTATTATACTCTCCTTCAATGGTTTCCTCACTGTTGGTGGACTGAGCTACCACCCTGAGTCGGCCTGGTGTCCCCGCTTCAATTTGTTCAATCTATAAAAGTGATAAAGTTTTATTCTGAAATGAAGACATTTATCGAGTGAGATAACTGTATCTTCCCCTTCTATCTGGTTCACACAAAGTTAAAACATAAAGTCTGGCATGAAAGGTCTTTTATGTCCATCTCCCTCACCTTAACATCATTAGGATAAGTGATTAGATATCCCCCTTTCTCACTGCTTAATGCTTGCTAGAGGGGCTTTCTTTCAGATAGTTCTCAAACAATAGAATTCGGAAAGAAACATGGGAAGGAAGAAAGCGAGAAAGAATACCAAAATCCCTTAAAATCAAACCAATGACTTACTGTCTTTCCCAGGTTCCTATCTCAGAATTCACCCAGAACTATTAAATCCCACGCAGAGCCACTGCTGTCCAAATTCAGATATTCCCTTTTGACTACAGATGTCCAGTTAGAAACTCTATAACCTGGAAGCTTCATTATATAGTCTCTGAGTAACAGCCAAATCATAGGTTTCTGTAAAATATTTCCTGGGAGAAATCAATAAAATCAACTGCAATATCTACTCTTTCTTTGAAATACAAACAACTCTGTTTCATAAAACTGTCAGGGGTCATTTTATTTCCAAAATCAATAAATAGTAAATATTTCCTTCTTGAATTCCCTTTACAGTTAAACCTCTTTAAACATACTGGAAAACCTTTCTTGTTAATTTAAATTAAAAATGTTCTAATGGTTGAACAAAAGTTAAATTGGTACATGGCTTAGATTTGTTTCAAACTGGTGAAGTAAAGGGCCTCATCCTACCTCTACCTTTTCTTTCTTGTTAATTTAAATTAAAAATGTTCTAATGGTTGAACAAAAGTTAAATTAGTACATGGCTTAGATTTGTTTCAAACTGGTGAAGTAAAGGGCCTCATCCTACCTCTACCTTTTCTACCTTATTCATTTCTGTGCTGCAGTCAGGCCTTTTCTGTATCTAGAACAATTTTCCTCCACACAGAGCCTTTTTTGCATACACTATGTTCTCTGTCCAAAATGCACTCTCTCCCTCCTCTCCGCAGAAGGCTCCTTCTGCTCAGTTACTTTATAATATAGCAAGAATTCAATACCAGGCTGTGGGAATCAAGACACGCTGATAACCCTATTTTATTATGCAAAGTTCACCACATTTTCAAAAGAGTCCACGACACCCCAAATGTTAAGATAGTACATAGGAAGATGTTACTTTTCTATCACTACAGCATATACATAACAACTGTTGTTTTCTAATCATAGACTTAATGCAAATATATCATATATATATCTCTAGTCCCTAAAAAACAGCTACAGTAATCAAGTACTGATAACTCCCAGGAAATCTGCTACTTAATCCTCATATTATGAGATAGATTCAGTTTATTCTTACTCTATGTCAGGTACTGTCTAATTACTTTGTAAGTGTTAGCAATTCTCACAAGAACTGAGACAGATGCTTTATCATCTTCATTTTACAGAAACTACAAAGGTTCAGAGAGGTTAAATAACCCTCCCAAAGTCATATAGCAAGAACTAGCAGAACAATATTTTAATCCAGATCACTCTGGTCCCAAAGCTCACACTTTTTTTTTTCCTTTTTGGAAGATGGCCTGTTCGGGGATCCGAACCCCTAACCTTGGTGTCACCAACACCATGCTGTAACCAACTGAGCTAACCAGTCAGCTCCCAAAGCTCATATCTTATCTATCAGCATTAAGAGATCTACAAAGACAAAAAAAAAAGAGAGATCCACAGTCATGCAAAGAACTCAAATCAACTGACTGGTTTTTTAAAAAATGACAGCTAATATTTCTTATCTTTAACAGTCTCATCCTTGCACTAAAGGAACTATTAGTCTGTGATATACTAAGTGATCAACTTTGTCACACTTATATACCAAAACATTTGTGGTAATGTTAACAAGTCCCAGATATACTCATAATCTGGCATATTATAAGGCCTTTTCAAAACAATATTAAATGAGCAAAAAAAGCCAGCCCACATAAACAAAATGAGATAATGGTTTCCAGGGAAGCCAGAATCATATATTGCATATGTTGACTATACCTTATACCTAGGGGAAATATAGAAGAAAAAAATCAGCCTAGTCTTGAACTCTTACTTAAATCTCATATGAAGAAACAAAGTATAACAGACCAAATATAATAAAATAAAGGAATGCATAAAGAGAAGCATTAAAAAGAAGAGAACCAAAGGTAAGAAAGTCGACAAAGGAAGAGATTATTAATCTATAAATAAGAACAAAGCTATTTAGGAAGTAGGCTGGTATAAGTTTATATACCAGTACACAAGAGTTGAGAAATTACACCATTCTTGACAATGCTGAATGTTTCCACCACCAACCCCAACTCTCTTCTTGCCTCTTACCACGAGTCTTATCAACAAGCCTATGTACAAACCTATGTTTGACAACAACCCCACTTACTTTAATTGGTACAAATTGTTTTATAAACTTGACACCATGTTCTTCCATGTGTTCACCAATTTTGTTGGCCATGTCCTGGTCAAATCCTCTAAGGAGAATGGACCGTACCATAACAGTGACATCTAATCCAATACCAGCAAGAAATCCAGCACATTCCAAAGCAACATAGGATGCTCCGACCACCAGAGTCTTACCCGGGCAGTAAGGTAAAGAGAAAAGATCATCACTGAAAAGAAATTTTTTTTAAAAAAGGGAAGACAAAAAAAGAGAAAAATGTTCATATATATGAATAATAACTAAATCAAAGTAAATATTTTTACTTTCATAGAGATACTTTTAAGATTACAAATATTCAATTAGCTATACACATAACACAGGAGAAATTCT